CCTACTTTCGGTTCGAAGGGAACCGGTGCTAAGCGGCCCAGGGACTCAGGGCAGCGGGACCATGTAGCACCCGGTGCAGACACAGCTCAGGCTTCTTGGGCTTTTGGAGTGTGCCCAAGACAAGTCTCAGCTTGGTACCACGAGGCCTGTCGCCTCCTCCGGGCAAGAGGTATGGGGACGGGAGGAGTTGGGGTCTGATGGGGAGAGAGGTTCGGCTTGGGAGGATGGAAAGCTCTGGAGGCGGACAGCGGTGATGGCCACAAAACAGTGTACGTGCATTTGATGCCATGGAACTGGGCGCTCAAACGTGGCTAACGGTACCTCCTATATCATGTGCATTTTACCACGATTAAAAAATAAAAGTAACAGTGAAAAGGTTATTGAGAAGTGAGGGGGGTTAAAGAAAAATAGGAAGGAGGATCCTGGCTCAGGCTCAAATCGGGACGTGGGACATGGATGGCCGAGGTCTGGGCAACGTGGGGTTTCCAGCCTAGAGCACAGGGCTCGGCGCGGGCTCCGGAGCAGGCTGTCTGGGTTCGAGTCCCCGCCCCGCACTCACGCTGGTGTGACTTCTCTTCTCTGAGCATCGGGCTCCTCATCTGGAAGGTGGGAATGATAACAGAAGGGACTGCAGGGAGCTGATATTTATCAAGTACTTGGAACAGGGCCTGGCACCCAGTAAGTGCTGTCTTAGTGCTCGATAAATAAACAGACTCCCGAGGGGACGGCAGGCAGGCAGCTCGCCTGGTCGGGGGCCCCTCTGCTGGTTAAACCTGCGGAGATAGACCCCTTCGGAGGCAGACCCTCTGTGGCCACCGTTGGGAGCCCCTGTGTCCGGAAGGCTGCACTTCGTTCTCCCCACCTCGCAAGGCTTCCTCCTGGGCCGTCTGCATGGCCCAGCCACTGAGCTCTCTGCCCAGCCTTGCCCGAGGCCCTTGGCCATCGTGGGAGCCCCAGCCCCCCACAGGTGCTTTGGTGGGACCCCCTTGGAAGCAGCCCAAACGTCCATCAGTGGATGCACGGGTCAACAAGCGTGTCAGAGCCATACCACGGAATACTATTCCATCGCGAAAAGAAACGATGTTCTGGTATGTAGCGAGGATGAACCTCAGGAATATTACGAAAAAGAAATCACGTATGAACACCACCAAGAAAAAAGAAACGGTGTGAGAGCAGCAAGACCGCATGGATATGACACGTCCAGATCAGGACAATCCACAGAGACCGGGAGCAGACTAGCCGTGGCGGGGGCTGGGGGGGCGGGAGCAAGGAAAGCTGCCACGGGGTGAGGGGCTCTACTGGGAGTGATGGAAATGTTCTGGAACAGAGAGCGGTGAAGGTGGCACATCAAGAATGTACGGAACTGTTCACTTTAAAATGGTTAATTTCAGGGCGCCTGGGTGGCTCAGTTGGTTAAGCGACTGCCTTCGGCTCAGGTCATGATCCTGGAGTCCCGGGATCGAGTCCCCCATCGGGCTCCCTGCTCAGCGGGGGGTCTGCTTCTCCCTCTGACCCTCTCCCCTCTCGTGCTCTCTGTCTCTCATTCTCTCTCTCAAATAAATAAATAAAATCTTTAAAAAAATAAAATAAAATGGTTAATTTCATGTTACATGAATTCCACCTCCATACAGTTGTGTTTTTTCTTTTTATCAAAAGACTCACCCTGTCCTGCTGAAGGCAACAGCCCAGAGCCCCGGTCTGATCTGGCCACACCTTCTGACTCGTCACTCACTGGACACCCAACACCTGCCACGCCGGCCTGTTTCCACCCGCTCCCCCAGCTCCCTCTGCCCTAAAGCCCCCCTCCGTCCAGAGGAAGCCACCCTCCCCCTGTGCTGGCCCGCAGGTCAGGGGCCACTGCCAGGCCCGAGCTCTGTTGGGAGTGACTCCCACCACGTGGCCCCGGCCTTCATGACCTGAGCATGATGCAAACAGCCAACACCCCTCCAAACCAGCCCTTACGGCTCGCCAGTTCTGGGCTGGAAGTTGGATCCTCTTTCAAGCTTTGCAAAACGTCTCGAAGAAGCAGCCTCTACCAAGGTCCTTCCTACAGATGCACAGACCGAGGTGCCAAGAAGCAACTGTCCGAGGCTGGGTCCCAGCCCCTTTGTGATTCGCTGCGAGGCCCCAGGCTTGTCTGGCCAGCGCTGGGGGACTGGGGCCTCCTCTTGCTCATCTTGCACCCACCCTCTGCCAACCCTGAGTCGGGGCCCTGCCCACAGCAGGTGCCCCAAGAACCTGGTTGAATTGAAAACAGACTTCCTGAGATTGCAAGAAGTCACTATTTGAACGACCCATGACCGTGATCAGCGATGAATACGGTGGGGGCAGAGTGTATGTGACCTTTGGGCATCTCCTGGCTTATCCGAGGGTCCTCCTGGGGAACCGCGGGGGGATACGTTGAGGTCTGCAGATGGGGTGGCTTTAGGCACGGTGACACTCAGCTGGTCAAGTGAGCTCTGGCCTCTGAACCATTGGTCTCTAAACCACTCCTGAGCAGCGTTTGGGAGCTGTGGAGACCCCGAGTGCTGTTGCCGTGAGTCACGTGCTTGCTCAGTGTCTCGAAGGAGGCCCCCAGAGTCCCTAGTAGGCCCCCCTGTGTGATAAGGCCCAGGCATCGGGGAGAGTGAGCCTGTCCCAGTGGGCGGGGCCTCACCCTGCAAAGCCTATTTTAAACCTGGGCCAACCCCAGGGCAAGAGCGCTGGCCCCAGCCTCCCCGGGAGCTACCTCCTCTCCCTCCCTCACCGCCGAAAAGGGAAACCATGTCCCATAATTACAAGGGTGGCGTGGCGTGATTACCACTGTATCCTGATGGCTGTGACAGAGGCCTCCCCACGCCGGTCCACTTGCCGGGCTCTGCTTTTGATGTAAACATCTTCCTGACGTGGGCAGGGTGCTCCTGACTGCCGCATGGGGGTCCCGCAAAACGGGCTGGGGCCCTCGGTGCCCCTTCCCCCAGGGGACCCTCTGCCTGCTCAGACCACGCGGGAGCCCCCCTCTCCCCAGCCCTGCCATCCTTCTGGCGCAGCAATGTTTACCAAAATCGCAGCTGAAGCCGATCTTTGTAAAAATGAGCTGGTTCAGGTATTTACTAAAATATCTTTTTAAAACTGGATTGGATCAAACATCGTTTTAAACAGTCTGGATCTACGGCTGGCTTTTCTGCATATGCTGGACTCGGCCAAAGGGTTTCACATCAGAGCACAACTTAACTGGAGCCAAGGGGATGAAAAGAAGAAAAATAGCCTCAATTGGAATGAATCAACATCTATTAATGGCTGTTTAACATATTTCTGCTAATAATAATACATTAAATAATGTGCATTTTAAGGCTGGCTAAATATACAATAGCCCATCCCTGCCCCCCAAAAGGTAAACAATGATGGTTAAAAATAGCCCCAGTACCTATTTACATTTTTTTTCCCTTGAGTTTTTTTGGTTTATAGTTCATGGTTCCAGGGGTTAGAACTCTAACATTTTCTCTGTGTATTTATACAACCGAGCTATTGCTATGTATCACATTGGCTATCAGACTCTTCCAAGAAAAATGAGTTTTTATCTCCACTCCTGCACAACAGTGGTTTGGGTCAGATGTAAAAGCTCTGTGAAATTCATGTGACCCCAACAACAGTCCCACACTGCACCTGATTCCCATCCAGCTTCCTCTGCCCCCGAGGGACAGGCTTCTGGGGTACCCAGCCCGCGCCTCTTGGGGCTTTCTGCAGACTCTTCACGGGGGGAGCCTTCATCCACCGAGAATAAGAAATCCCACCGGGTGCTTGTCTCCCAGATCCTTTGTCCAGACTGAAAACAAGATAAATACTAAAGATGACAGCAGGTGACCTTTCTGCCTCCCTGGCTGGGAGGAGGAAGGCTTGAGTCTCCTCTCTGTGCATAGCACTCTGGGTCGGGGGCAGGGAAGAACATTCGGCAGGACGTTTCTTTGTGGTTTTGCTGCTACTTCTAGTGAGTGTTTGTGCCCAAAGCAGCAACAAGGGTACCAACGCCGGCAGCCCGCGGGGCTCAGGGCGGCCCGTCAACCTCAAGGATGCATGGATTCCTTTCTTGTGAACAAAGTCTGGCCCCGGGGGGCGGCTGGGTCTGTCTCCACCTGGGGCCAGCCACAGCCGGTGGCTGGGGGGTGTTACCCGGCAGGTGGTGCGGGGTCCCTGGCATGGGCGGGCTCCTCCTCGGGGTGCACGAAGTGTGAGACGGACCTTTCAAAAGGCCAGGCTGCCCCTGTCCCGCCACCACCCATGCTGTGGTCAGGGAGCAGCTTTCGCCCTTTGTCTAGGGCAGCTCTGCGTCAGAGTTGATTGTGTTTATCCGGAGGTGTCAGGGATGTGGGGTTTGTAGCCACAGAAGGCGCCTTGCATTGTGACTCTCCCAGGTCTCCGTGGTGCCTGCATCTGGGTTGTCTGGGAGGATGCTGAATTGTGCAGACCTTGCTTTCTAAAAACAAGCAGGGCTGGAGAGTGGCACCTGCCCCACCCCCCAGCCCTGAGCGGGCCTGGGGATGTGGGTCAGAGCCCCCCCCCCCACCTCTGCCCTGGCCAAGTTCTCTTTGCCTTGCTTAACTAGAGTCCTCAAACAACTGTCCCTCCTGTTGGAGACAGTTTGCACTTTACCAAGATGCCTAAGTTCTACATAGGCTGGGGTTCAAGTTCAGGCAGGCACTTACCGTGCAACCTCCGTATCTCCTTCCCATCCCTGGGCTTCCCTCCTCCTCTCGGGACAAATGGCTAGAGTGATGAATTAGGGTCCCGCCGCCTGGGGGAGGAGGCCGAGTACTCTCCACTGACGCTGAACCCGGCCACTCACGCATCTGCCCGTGCAGTGCCCTCTTTCTCTCGGGGCTGGGTCCCTGCCCCTCCCCCCCCAGCACCCCTTCCCGGGGGCCCTCGCCGGGGGCGCCGCGCACGGCCCCCTGGGGCCCCACTGGCCGCCCCGACTGATAAGACGGTCCGGGGCGGGTGGAGACGCGCCCGGTGGAGCAGGAGGCCGGGGGCGGGCCGGGCCCGCGGGCCGAGCGCCGCTCTTCTTCTCCAGCGTCCCGCGCCCGCGCGCGGTGTCCGGGTGGCGGCGCGGGGCGGGGCGAGGGCGGCGTCCGCAGGTAGCCCCGGGGGCGGGGAGGCCGACCGGGACCCCCAGCCCAAAAAGCCCAGGGGGAGGAGCGGCGCGGCGGCGGTGCGCGAGGGCGGCCAAGTTGGGCTCCGGCGCGCGCGGCTTCGCGTCCTGCGTCCGGGAGGAGGAGGAGGGGGACGGTCCCCTCCGCAGCTGGGCTCGACCCCTGGCCCTCGGAGCCGCCGAAGACCTCAGGGGGTGACTTCGTAGCCCCCTCTCCTGGACGCGGCGCGTCCGGGGCGCAGCGGAACCGGGCAGCGAGCCGCGCCATGCTGGAGGGCGACATCGACCTCGAGGGGCTGTCCCCCCCGGAAGCCCCCGCAGCCCGTGAGTATCCGGGGACTGCGCGGGGGCGCTGAGGGACCCTGAGCGCGGCGGCATTGGCGTCGGGGACGGCCGCTTCCCCGGGACCGAGGGGTGCGCGAGGGGCAGGAGCCGGGACCCCGGTGTCCGGTGGCGGGGACCGGCCCCCGTGCTGCTTCCTGGTGAGGGGCGGGGGAGGGGGGCTCGGTCGGCGGCGGGTCACTGGGGTCAGCCACAGACAAACAGACGGCAGACAGACCACCGGGGGCCAGGCCGGGCCGGGCTGGGAGCAGGCATCTGCCAGGCCGGCCGCGCGTCCCCGGTCCCGGGAGAGCATCTCCCAGCCGTGCGGCCTCCACGGCCACGGCGGATGGAAGCTTTTCGGATGTTTTTACAGGCGCTATTAATACACATAATATTTCCGTGCTATTCTGGAGATTTATTTGCGATATAAAGTAACTCCTATGACTTGAAGTCATCATGGAAACTGCGGAGGGACTGCCGGGGGCGGGGGGGGCGGGGGGGAGACAAATGAGGTTTGACTGGAGTTGGGAGGGGGAGTCCCTGACTTCCTTGGCCCCTCCCTGCACATAAATCACGACCCTGGATATTTTTATACCAATAATTTTAAAATAAATGACCCAGGCCGTGTTTCCTGGATGATTTTCCCTCCCAGTTCAGAGGTTATTAAATAAACCCCAGAGCGAGCGGAGAGCGAGCGGGACAGTGGCAGGGGCCACAGCCGGCGCTCAGTTTTATTTAATTACACAGCTGAGCTCCACCCTCCCGGAGCGCCCTGGGTAGGATTGTGTGCCCTACAATCAGAACGCCACCTCGGAACTGGGAGCTGCTAACTATAGCATGGGAAGCTTCTTACTCCTTCTCCTGCCTCTCCTCCCCCACCCCCTTTTTTTCTTTTTGGATTCCCATGGAGAAACTTATCGTGACGTCTGCTCTCGAAACAGCCCAATTTGGCTTCTTTCTAGAAGTGACACTGTATACTCATCAAATTAAGGGCTCAGGAGGAAGAGAGAGGGGCCCTGCCAGCCAGAGCGGGGTGCAGGAGGGGGAAGGGGGTGCCTGTTTTCCAGCGCCCTCCTCGAGCTCGCGTGTAGACTTGACCCGTTCTGTAAGCAGCTGGTTACGTGAGCCCTGAACTCAGCATTTGTGGACATCTAACCGAGCTCTTACCTCTACCTGGGCACAGAATTCAGCGCTGCACACCTTTAGTCCTCCATCCAACCCTGTAAGGCGGGAGCAGAATCATCCTCATTGTACAGACAAAGAAACTGAGACCATAGAATCAGTACATGGTGGTTCCAAGCCTAGAGCCCGCTCCTGGGAGGCTGTGGCTGTCCCTTACCCCATCGCAAGCAGAATCACCCACAGGAGGGTACTAGCCGAGGGTCTGCACTTTGGTCTTTATAGTCTTTAAGTGGGGCAATGGGCCGTATCTCAGCTGTGGGGCTTGGGGGAACCCTGATGGATCAGCTCTGAGCCATGGACACATTGACTCTGCAGATGCCTCACCTGCCTCGGGGCTGAATGTGGAGGGAGGGTCTCCCTGCTTCCTCTGCTCTGGGCTTCAGGGCTCACAGGTGTAAGACCTTAGAACTGGTGCCCCAACCTCTGTTCCTGGATTGGCCCCTGGGTGCCTTGTCCTAGTGAAGCAGGCATGCGAGGAACTCTGTGACAAAACCTCCTAGCAGTTCACCACTCTTTAGCTCTTTGGGTGTAATGAAGACCCAGAGGCTGCCATGGGCACTTGCAGGTGAACCCCACCTCGACCCGGAATCTCTTGCAGTGAGTGCAGTGTAGCCCGAGTGCCCAGCCCTGAGCCCCAGCTCTGCTGCCTGCAGCTGTGTGACTTGGGCCAACGTACTTAACCACTCTGGGCCTTATCTGTACATCCAGAGGGTTGTGAGGCTGACTTGAGCCTGCAGCCTTTCTGCCTGGTGTCTCCACTCCGCACGAGTTCTGGCTCATTGTCACCCTCCCGCTCACCGTCTCATCCTTACTACAAGCTCCAGTCCATAGGGCCCAGGTGTGGAGTCGTACCTGGCGTTCCGTGACTTATCCTGGGACCAGCTCGTTCTCGCTTCCCTGGAGCAGTCGATTGTTACAGATGCCACTTCCCACTCTGCCTCCTTTAGCAGCTCCCTCATTACTTATTCATCAGCCCCTGGTCTGCATCTCCCACAAGGGCAGGTGGAGTTAGGGTGAGGTGGAGGTAGCATCCCTCCACTGGATCGTGTCTGCCCAGCTCACTCCTGGGCATACCTCAAAACCCTGCTGGGATGTCCCGTGACTACACAGATGGCACGCTGGGCACAGAGGGAGGAAAGGGGGAGGGAAGAGGGAAGAGGAGGAAGGGAAGTGGGGGGCAGGGCCGATAGCTAAGTTCACTGAGCAGTCCGCTGTGCGCGGGGCACGTGGAAATCCTGTTATTGCACCTTCGTTGCGTCACTCTCTGTGTGCTGGACCGGCTTACGGATAAGGAAACTGAGGCACGGAGAGACACTGTTGAAGGTCAAACAGCTGCTAAGTGCCAGAGGCAGGGTGTGAATCCCAGGCAGCCTGGCTGAGCGCCGCCGATTCTCCACTCGGAAGGGAAGGGCAAGTTGTCTCCAGCAGCTTGCACTCGCCTGCTCAACAAACAGTTGCAGAGCGTCTCCTGGGTGACTGGCACTGCGTCCTGGGGGCTTAGGGGACAGCAGACAAAGGCATGGCCCTTGTGAAGCTTTCTTGACTATGGAGGACAATTAAATATCCAACGTGTTGGCTGGCAATATGACCCATGAAGACAAGGAGAACAGGAAAGAGACAAATGAGGGGGCAGCGGGGGGTGTGGTGGGGGTGGGATAAACAGGGTGGCCAGGCAAGATGAACACATGGGAACACCTACCTTAAGGAGGTGGAGGAAAAGCATTCTGACAGTGGGAACAGCAGGTGCAAAGTCCCTCGAGCTGCCAGGATCCCTGGAGGGAGGGAGCAGGAGGGAAAATCCAGACTCTGATGGGCTTCTGGCCACATTAACCTCAAGGGGTCTGGAGCAGAGAGCAGGGAGGACTGGGGATGACTTAGGTGTGGGCGGATCCCTCTGGCTCCTCCATAGAGAACAGGCCCAACGGGGGGAAGGGCAGAAGCTGGTCCCCAGGCTCTCGCAGTAACCCAGGTACCAGGTGCTGGAGACGTGGGTTGGGAGAGAGGTGTATGTTGCACACAAAGCCGGCAGGAATTGCCCACACATCGGATGTGGGGCTGCAGGGAAGAGAAGCCTGAAGGGCAGCTGAATGATTTTTGGAGCAGGAAAAACAGGAGCTTTTTTTTTTTTTTCCCCCAGAGTAGTGGGGGAGTAGGTAAGGGAATTGCGTTTGTTTTTTTGTTTGTTTTTGTTTTTGTTCTTTTCAATTGATGTCAAATATCCATAACAGTTCAATCATCGTAAGTATACACTTCTGCGGCATCCACTGCATTCACATTGTTGTGCAAGCATCGCCACCATTTCTAAAACTTGCCTTTATCGTCCCAAACAGAAACTGAGTATCCGTTCAGCAATAGGTCCCATTTCCCCTGACCCAGCTCCTCCGTCACCTCCAGTCTCCTTCCGGCCTCTATGAATTTGACTCTTCTAGATACTTCCTGAGTGGAATCAGGCCATATGTGTCCTCCGGTGTCTGGCATATTACACTTCGCATGTATTTCAAGGTCGGTCCGTATCCTAGCAGGTGTCAGATCCATAATACTCAACTGTATGGAAGCACCACAGTTTGTGTATCCGTTAGTCTGTCATGGACACTTGAATTATTTGCACCTTTTGGCTGTTGTGAATGGCGCTGCAGTGAAAATTTGCATACAAGTCCCTGTTTGTGTCCCCGTTTTCAGTCCTGTTGGCCATACACCTAGAAGTGAAATAGCTGGATCATGTCTTTAGCTTTTTTGAGGAACCCCTGTTTTCCTCAGGGGCTATACCATTTTATACTCCCACCAGCAATGCACAAGGGAGTTCCAGTTTCTCCACATCCTCGCCAACACTTGTTATTTTGCTTTTTTTTTTAATTGCAGCCATCCTCATATGTGTGAAATGGTTTCTCATTGTCGTTTTGATTTGCATTGGCCTCATGACTAATGATGTGTGCATCTTTTCATTGGCTATTTATTTGTATGTGTTCTTTGTTTATCTATTCAGTTCCCTTGCCTGTTTTTTAATGGGTTGTTTGTTTTTTTTGTTGTTGAACTGTAGGAACTCTGTATGTTCTGGATGTTAAACACTTACAGTTATATGATTTGCAAATATTTTCTCCCATCTTGTAGACTGTCTTTACTTTCTCCATAATGTCCTCTGATGCACTTGTACATACAAAGAGTTTTTCTTCTGTGCTGTGATATGACTAATAGAGGAAACTATCTTGTACCATTGCAATTTGATGCACAATTCCCTTTGATTTGAACAGACATAGATGATCCTCCTTCTTTGGGCCAGTTACAGTGCCAGGGGCTGGATAACAGGATAGTCAGTACTTGCTTGCACAGAGTTTACAGCCCGTGTAGGTTTACATTGTGGAAGCTTCCTGATTTTGTCTAAGTAAGCTGTGTGTGCAGAGGATGGTCCATACTGGCAGCTCCACCCCATCACCTCTGAGCTGCTGCCTGGCAGTGGGGGGTGGGGGGGGAGGAGGGGTTCAGCTCTCACTTCCCTTAGAGCACATCAGCAACAGATCAAACTCAATGGATGGATTGGTGGGTGGATGGATGGATGGATGGGTGGATGGATAGATGGGTGGATAGATGGATGGATGGATGGATAGGTAGATAGGTAGATGGATAGATGGATAGGTAGATGGATGGATGGATGGATGGGTAGATGGATGGTTGGATGGATGGGTAGATGTGTGGGTGGATGGATGGATGGATGGGTGGGTGGATGGATGGAGAGATGGATGGATAAGTGGGTGGATGGATGGATGAATAGGTAGGTAGATGGATGGATAGGTGGGTGGATGGATAGGTGGGTGGGTGGATGG